TTACTACATAGGATGGATCAGAAGACAGGAAGAGGGTGGTGGAATGGGAGATGAAGCTGGAACAATAAGACAGGGAGCAGATCATGGAGGGCATCGGACTTTGGGCTTTCTCCTGGAGAGATATAGAGCCATAGAATGATTTTTAAGATGCACATAATGATGAGATTGGAGCTATTCTGATATTCTCTACAGAATGGTCTAGAAGGGTATCAGTCTATTTTTAGCCCAGATGAGAGGTTATGAGGACCTGAATTACAGCAGCGTTGGTGAGTGAAGAAAGTGTCCAGTGGGAGTTTATATTGCCATCTTGATACTAAGGACAGACTCTTCCTAAATAACAATCTTCATCCATTCATCTAATTTATTAATAAGTATTGTAGCAATAGCCATCTTTACCCATTCCTGACTCCCTATGACCTACTGCATGTCTGAGTCTCAGATGTTTCCACTGGCAAAGTTCTCACTTGTCTCCCTATGAGCCATGGAATCCTGAAATAATAAATCTGCATCTGTCATCTAGGCTGATTATATTCCTCCCCTATCTGAAAAATCTGTCCTACAGCAGATCTTTTATTCCGTATGCCACAAACACATAGATACACCCCCCCCACCATCAAATATTCAAAATCAAGTATTTTCAATTCTTTGCTGGATTCAGCAGCAATGCCTACCTCCCATCAGGGAGGCCTGAAGGCATTGGATGTTATTCCCAATTCACAATCAGATTATTTATCATTGCAGCCAAGTAGAGACCTTTTTATTTCTGCAGGCTGTTACTTTTGAAGTGAACACACCAATTATGATCTATATGATTCTCTGATGGTAGATATTTGGTCAAACATTACTCTGGGTGTGTCTGTGAGGGTGTTTCTGGATAAGATTAACATTTGAATCTGTAGACTGAGTAAAGCAGATTGTCCTCCTTAATGTGGGTGGGCCTCATCAAATCAGTTGAAGGCATGAATAGAGCAAAAGGGCTGAGTAAGAGAGAATTCGTTCTGCCTGACTGCCTTTGGGCTGGGACATTGGGTTTTTTTGCCCTGCTTTCAGATTGGAATTGAAACACCAGCTTTTCCTGGGTCTCAAGCCTGCTGGCTTTCAGACTAGAAATATACCATCAGCTCTCCTGGTTCTCAGGAGTTTGGACTTGGAGTGCGACTACACATAGGGTCTCCCAAGCCTCCAGCTTGCCAACTGCAGATTTTGGGACATGTCAGCCTCCATAATCACGTGAGCCAATTCCTTATAATAAATCTCTTTATAAACACACACACGCTCATCCTGCTGGTTTTCTTTTTCTGGAGAACCTTGACTATTATGCAGTTTCTTTTCCTTGTTTTCACCTCTAAATTTTTGTTTCTCTTACTCTTGCTTTCCCTTTTCTTTCCTCTTTTAAATACCAGCATAATGGTTCATGATAAGTTATCTTCCATTGAGGGGTTACTCTACACCTGACCTGCCCCAGGGGAACAGGGAGAAGGGAGGAGCCATCCTGAGATCCATTCTAAGATATGAATATATTTCTCTATAAATAACTTTTTTCTGATCACAAAGTAATATGTGCTCATTGTGAGGAATTAAGAAAATGTAGAAAAAGGGGGAAAAAAGAAAGAAAATAGGCACCCATAGTCCCACATCTCAGAAATATAAGCACATGATGTTCTGATGAATTTCTTTCCAGTCGTGGTTCATCTCCAAATTGCTACTGTTCTATATGAATGGCTTTCTCTCCTATTCTTTCCACTTAACATTATAGCATGGACACTTTGTCATGTTGGCTAGTGTTTTTGCACCACCCCATTAGATTGTTCAAAAATTTCCATTACTATAAACATTATACTCCAACAGCAATACTCTAAACAGTATACTCTAATAGCAATACTCTAAGCAGCATACAGTAATGCTCTCCAGTGTATTCTAAAGCACTATAAGCAGTAATGCTATCAAAGTCTCATACCTAAATCCTTTTTGGCCAATCTGATCATCATTTTTCCTAGAATTAAAATAGAAGGATCCTAGTGTATATATACATTTGGAAGGTTCTTAATACTTAGTAACTTGATTTCCAGAATATCTGAGCCAAAAGGAGTCTTTTCATATACCATCATGCCAATTACCCTCATTATTATCAACACTCAATATTCTAATTAAATTTCGTGGGTTATTTTTTCACTATTTCTTTAACTGAAATCAGATTCTTACCATATAATCCAGCAACTGCACTGGTAGTATTGACACAAGTGAGTTGCAAACTTATGGCCACATGAAAACCTGCACACGAATTTCATGTAATTTTATTTATAAATGTCAAAAATTGGAAGCAATCAAGATGTTCTTCAATAGGTGAACAGATAAACTGTGGTACATTCAGACAATGGAGTATTATTTAGAAATAAAAAGAAATAAGCTAGAAAGCCATAAAAAGACATGGAGGAAACTTAAACATATGTTGCTAAGTGAAAGAAGGCTATTTGGAAAGGTTACATGATTCCAACCATATGACATTCTAGAAAAGGCAAAATTATAGTGATAGCAAAAAGACCAGTGGTTGCCAGTGGTTGGAGAGGGGAGGGATGGATAGCACACAGAACTTTTAGGGCAGTCTCTATGATACTGTAATGGTGGATAAATGCTATTATGCATTTGGCAAAACCGACAGAACTGTACAACACAGGGATAACTCTAAACTATGGACGTTAGTTAATAATAATGCATCAATATTTGTTCATCAGTTGTAACAAAGGTATCACACCAACGCAAAATGTTAATAATAGGCAAAACTGAGGGCGAGTCGGGGGTAATATATGAGAGCTCTACTTTCTGCTAAATTTTTCTGTAAACTTAAAACTTCTCTAAAAAATAAAGTCTATAAAAATGGCATATTCTTGTTTTATTTTGATTTTCCTTGATTGTATGGAACTTGAACATTTCTTCATGTGTTGATTCACTTGTATTTAGCCTCATGTTTTTTGGATTTTTTTCTTACTGTTTTTAAGAGCTTTCAAATATATCACTACTGTACTTTGGTTATATTTTCTTATAAATTATAAATTCTCTCTCCCTCCGATTTTAATTTGCCTTTTAATGTCATTTGGTATTATTGATAAACAAATGATACATTGTATGTACTTTGTGATTTCTTCCACTGCTCTTCTGCTTAGGAAGTTTGCACACTTCAAGAAGTATGCAAATATATTATCTATATTCATTTCTAATAGTGTTCTGATTTCAATTTTTCAAGTCACTCTCTTTTCTATTATTCATTGTGAGGTATTTTTTTTAAGTTTTCTGAGCACCATTTATTATGTCATTTTCCTTTTATGGGTTGATTTGTGATACATCTATATTGTGAACTAAATTCTCGTACTGTGTCCAGTTCTTGACTCTCCAATTTGTTCCATTGATCTCTTTATATTTAAGTTGACCACACTGTTTTAAAAGTTGCATGTCCTCATCATCCATCTTCTTTTAAAACTTTCTTGAATTTTTAACTAAGTTCCTTAAGCTTAACCAGTTAATGTTCCTAATCACTTTTCTCAAGTGGATCTTAAGGGTCTAAATCAGAATAATTACTGCAGAGGAGTCAAAGGCAGCGATATTTCCATGGTACTCAAAGCTACAGGAAGGCTGAGCCCATGCCTCTTACTTTTCTATTCTTATTCCTACCCAGTGCCTGGTATACTGTAGGTACTCAAATAATTATGGAATAAATGAAAGATGAGAATATACAGTCATTTAGATGTCTACAAAATTTAAAGATCATCGTGGCAAAGAGAAATGACCTTCAGAGAGGCAAACTGAGACCATGTAAGTTATAGACACACTTCAATTCAAAGAAAGGACCTTTTTCTTTTTTTTTTTTTTAAAGATTGGCACCTGAGCTAACAATTGTTGCCAATCTTCTTTTTTTTTCTTTCCGCTTGTTCTCCCCAAGTCCCCCCAGTACATAGTTGCTTATTTTAGTTGTGGGTCCTTCTAGTTGTGGCATGTGGGACGCTGCCTCAGCATGGCCTGATGAGGGGTGCCATGTCCGCGCCCAGGATCGGAAGCAGCGAAGCCCTAGGCCACCGCAGCAGAGTGCGGGAAGTTAACCACTCAACCACCGGGTCGGCCCCAAGTACCTTTTTCCCATATGTGTATAAAATTGAAGGCAACTGCCTCTTAATTTAGGAATTCCCTCCTGTTGCAGAGACCTAATATTCAAATAGAAACTAAGGCTTATTTTTTTTCTTTAATGGAGTGAAATGAAAGGTAGAAGGCTCTCTTTCTTTTTACGTTCAGTTGAAGAGACTTCATGATAAATAGTGTCTTTGTTATTGGTTAAAGGGCTTTATGATAGGGAATTGCCTCTAGTATGCCCTTAAAATTTCTTCTAATCTGTCATTCACTCAGTAAACATTTGTAGAGCGTATATTATGTATCAGGTACTGTGCTAAGTGCTTGGGATAGAAATAGAAAAGACATTGTCCACCCAACCTAAAGAAATTTAACAACTACAACACAAACATGTAGGGAGGGCATAAATAGAATGTATGGTGGGGAGGGTCTGATTTGGTCTTTGGGATTGAGGCGTATTACAGCACATTCATCATTATGATGATTCTAGAGGGATAAATTGGGACAGTTATGAGAAGTTACTATAATAATGGAGGAATTATCTGTAAAATCTTTTCCAAGTATCCTCCTCTGAGTCAAACTTGAGACAGAGAACAGTCTATTTCAAGACAGTGGCAAATGGCGCGATGGCAAAAACATCTCATTAAATTCTGCATTTCCTAATGATCGCCCTCTTTCTCTGCATTTCCCTGGGACTCGAAGAGACCACAACTAGAAGGCAGAAGGGAGGTGTTCATGAGGCTGATGATCCTTTCACAGGAATTGTGGAAATATGCGAGTTCCAGGTAGTAGGTACATGAGTGATCTATTTGTATACTTCTCTATATTTTTAAAGTTTGGTACCGCCCCCCCCCCCCTTTAAGAACAGCAGGGCGCTATGGAAATAGTTGTCAAACCCAACTGCTGTTACATGGGGAACTTAAAAAATGTTAGATTCCTGGCCATGCTACACCTGTACTGAGTTCCCAGGAGAGGGATCCAGAAGGCGGCTTTTTAAAAAGTTCCCCGGATAATCCTCATTCAGCCATTCCAGCGCAGCCCTCGGAGCAGCTTTGAAGTCCCACTTCAGCGCAGGTGGAATAGCCATTTGTTGGGGATGATGCATAGGACACCCTTCCATGCTGTGGGACATTCGTCTTAAAGAGGGGTTCCTGGTAGTAGTGGTAGAAGCAAGGAAGGGAGCGTATCATTAAAGAGGTTTTGATCAACAAAACACTTAGTTAAAACAGAACACTTCATGAGTGAAAATTCAGTTTGAAAACATATGGCACATCCCCTTTTGTCATTGTTTTAATTCCATTATTCTTGCTTCTTTCTAGGCAATTTCTATAAGTTATATGGAAGCAGGGAACCAAACAGCTATTTCAAAATTCACCCTTCTGGGACTTTCAGATGATATGGACCTGCAGCCTCTCCTCTTTGGGCTGTTCCTCTACGTGTACCTGATGTGTGTTATAGGGAACCTGCTCATCATCCTAGCTATCATCTCTGACTCCCACCTTCACAATCCCATGTACTTCTTCCTCTCCAACTTGTCCTTCACTGACATCTGTTTCAGCTCCACCACCATCCCCAAGATGTTAGTGAACATCCAGACAAAGAGCAAAGTCATCACGTATGAAGGCTGTCTCACTCAGATGTATTTTTTCATGATTTTTGCTGGCTTAGATAATTTGCTGCTGACCGTGATGGCCTATGACCGGTTTGTGGCCATCTGTCACCCCTTGCACTACACAGTCATCATGAACCCCCGCCTTTGTGGTCTCCTACTTCTGCTTTCTTGGTTAATCTGCCTGACATATTCTTTGTTGCAAAGTTTGATGGTTTTGAGGGTGTCCTTCTGCAAAGAGACAGAAATCCCCCACTTCTTCTGTGAACTTACTCAGATCCTCAAGCTTGCCTGCTCTGACACCCTTGTCAACCACATCGTGCTATATTTTGTAACTGGCCTGCTGGGTGTTATTCCCCTGACTGGGATCCTTTTTTCTTATTCTAGAATTATCTCCTCCATAATGGGAATTCCATCTACTGGGGGGAAGTATAAAGCCTTTTCCACCTGTGGGTCTCACCTCTCAGTCGTCTCCTTGTTCTATGGTGCGGGTCTTGGGGTCTACCTCACTTCTGGAACAGCCCACCCCTCCAGAAAGGGCTCAATAGCCTCGGTGATGTACACAGTGGTCACCCCCATGCTGAATCCCTTCATCTACAGTCTGAGAAACAGGGACATGAATGGGTCTCTGAGTAGACTTTTCAGCAGAGGAGTGTACTCTCAGTGAGATCACGGAAGTTAAGGACAGACAACAGAGATCCAAAATGCTGTTAACTAGTGTTCCTGAATATGTAATCTGAAGACATAGAAAAGATATACTATTCATGATATACTAGAAGACATTCCTGAACTGAAGACTAATGTGAAGCAGCACACCAAAAGGCTCACCATCTACTAAGGAGAAAGAATGGCCAACCAATAACTAAACTTCTCATGAAAATAAACTATTTCAAGGATACAGACTCCTTCCTTTAATCATCAAGAGAGAAGGCAAGTCAAAAAAATGCAGCAGAGGAGGAGAGAGGACAACAGTGATGAAAATGTTTACACATTGTTGACTCATCTTTAACCTTCTCAGTTATGTTCTAGCTAAAACACAGCACCAAGCCTGCTGGACTATGCTTTTCCCTGGTCTGTCTAGAAATGCCATCTGGATTGCCTCATATTGACCTTCCTTGTCCCGTAAAATTGTACTTATTGTATCTTGCTTTGGTGGTGCCCACTGACCTATACTGAAGACTTTAATAGGAAACATCTTTTTGTAGTGTCAAATTTAAGAGAAAGTAAATCCTGATCTTTGTCAATCCATATGAGCCAGCAGATCTGAAATACAAGTCCAAAGCAATCTACTAGCTGTTTTCCTTGCCTCATCCACACTTCACCAAATCTTCACAGGCCTGCTCCTTCTCACAGGCTAGGGCTCAAATCAAAACTGTCAGAACTTCAGAGGCCTACCCTGGCTACCATCCTCCTATTCATTCCAGTTTTCATAGCACTTATATTTTGAGGTGCAGCAGAGCATAGCACCTAAGAGGGCCCTAGGTTTAAGTATCTCTTCATCATTCACTCATGGTGTGATCTTGTATAAGTTACTTCTCTGTGCCTCCATGCTCTCATCTGTAATAGTAAGGCTGACAATACATTTCCTGAAGATTTCTCGTGGGGATTAAATGTTACACATAAGAAAGTCCAGAACAGCATCTGCATAAGTACTCAATAATTGTTAGCCATAATAAGATCCAGGAGAGCACTCGAGATCTATGTTGACCACACACAGGTGCAAAGAGATTGTGAACAGTCAGCCAGGGACTCTTCTGTTGCTTTAACCCTATTAACCATAACAGCTTGCACTGCCATGGGGAGGGAGAATGGGGGGTGGGGAGGGCAGTTCAGGTCCACTATCAGAAGAGTTGGAAAAACTGACTAGAGAGGGTGGATCAGGCTATGGGTTTAGATGGGGCTGAGTGCATCCTCAGAGCTCTAACTCAGAGCACCAAGGAAGCCATGTAGCAGAGAGGGTCCCGGCCAAGGCTCAGCTCTCTGAACAGTCATAAGAGCACCACACACTGGAGGTCAGATCTGCAGAGTCTAGGAGAGAATGTTCCTGTACCTAGAGACTAAAGATTAGGCCAGGAAATGGCCCCAGACAAGGACTGGCTACAACAGGAAGCAGGGAAGACAAAGCATACTTTATACTGGTTCAGCTCCATGCAGAGATTCTCTTGAACTGAGAGTAAAAATTTAACTTTAATACCTGTCTTAGGTTGACCTGAGGACTGTTGAACCCTCTTGGTGATCAATGGATTCGGAAACATGCAGATTCCAATGTCTGAATCCTAATTTTACCACTTATTAGGATATCTACTCTGTCCTTAAGCAGCCTCCAATTCTTCATTTGTAAATAAGTGTTGGGGGTGATTACAGAAAATCAGTGTCTAATGTACAGATTTTCAAAAGGTAGTGGGCACCATATTTATGAACACAGCATTTATTTATTTGTGTCCCCATCTTGTGCCCAAAAGAGGTAATTCTATTGGCAGGATCCTGCACCCCAAAAAGCTCGGCCCAGCTGCATCCTTTTCCAGCAGGTGTCTGAGAGAGATAGAAACTGATTGCTCCTGGGGGAAAAAAAAATCCCTTTATTCAGTGCGGTAAGTTCTTAGCTTCCAACCATTCTATGGAACCCCTGGCCCTGGTGATCAGGGCCATAAGAATTAGATGAAGCCAAAAAGATAGGGCCATCCTAATGAGCCTGGAACAGTATCTGATTGTCTTCCATCTTTCAATTAGTTCCTGGTATAGAAATTATTACTCTACCATGGGGCTTTTCAATCCAGGTACTGCTAACATTTGGTGCCAGATACTTGTGGTGGGGGCTGCCCTGTGCATTGTAGGATATGTACTGGCATCCATGGCCTTATACACTAGACAACAGTAGCTTCCTTGACCACCATGTCCCAGTCATAAAAATAAAAAATGTCTCCAGACATTGCCAAATGTCCCTTGAGGGAAAAATCACTCCCAAATGTGCACTGATCTACGATGACCCAGGAGAACCAAGGAAAAGAAAAGGCAAGAAAAATGAAGTGAGAGGAAGTCCCTGGTTTTCCTAAGGCCCAGAAAAGAATGGACCTAAGATATCAGCCTCTAGCTGAGAGAGTCCTCACATGGAGAGGGCAGCCTCAGGTCTGGAACAGAAGCACCAATTCACATTTGTTGAATAAACAGATGAACAAATTTTAGTGACCTCAAAACTCCATAGGACAAGAACCTTGTCTGTTCACTGGCTGCTGGGGGTTCACCATCTTGATTGTGGTGATAGTTTCACAAGTGTATACATAGGTCAAAACTGACCATACCGTCTATGTTAAGAATGTGCAATTTATTACACATCAATCGTCTCTATAAAAAGTTATTCCCTTTCATTTGGACCCTTCCAACACAAACACTGGCCCTGTGGTGACTGCACAAATAGGTATGATTTCTTCCCTCTCCTATCCCCACACCACTTCTGAGTATCTCCGAGTACTCTTCCACTCTTGGCTCACCCGTTGACTGCACTGGGCAGTGGGGTGCAGGCCAAAATGACACAAGCAGGGACCTGCAGTGGAGCTTATGTTCTCCTGGAAGCCACCAGCATGTGCATAGGCCCCATCTACACTGCTGGAGGATGAGACATGAGTGAAGAGCAAGTAGTTCCCAAGCTAAACTGGCAGCCAGCTGCAGACATGAGTTAAGTCCAGCTAAGCACAGACCAAATTTTCAACCAATAGAATCATAAACTAAATAAATGGTGGCTGTTTTAAACCACTGTTCTTTGGGCAGTTTATTACGCAGCGAATATAAATAGGCCCCTTCATTCCATTCTACTAAAGGGCACAGGTCACCTTTCTAAACTGCAAATCTCACCAAACTCAGTGGATTTCCTTCCAATGAACATTTAAATTGAGATGGATATATAGTGTTGATGTGTTTGTGTGTTATATAATCTGTCCCATGTTACTCCTCCAGCTTTCTCTCCTACTTCAAAGAGTGTCATTTTACATGTCAAAGAATGATATATTTTTTGTGCCTTTGCACTCTGGATTCACATGCTTATTCAAATCTGAGCCTGAATACTGTAAATAAGCCTTCTACACTTAGCTTGCATCCCCTTATATGTAGCTTTCCTTGATTGCTCCAAGTTCAACATCCCCTCCTTGGGATTTTCTGAATAGATTAAGTGGTTACACTAGCTATCTCATTTATTGTTTATCTCTGTCTCTCCTCCTAGACCTTTACTCCTTTAAGGGCAGTTCTGTGTCTTATTGTCTTTCTCCCGGAAGCCTAATTCAGTGTAAGGCACTTAACTGACATTCATTGGTTCTCTAGAGAGGAAAAAGTTCTGAGTGATGGGAGTTACCCAAACATTACACAAGACAGAGCTGTTTCCTGCTGGAGAGGATCCAAGAATTGAAAGCCATAGTCAGACAAGACTCTATGCGAGAATAATTAGAAGTCCCCTCCAGAGAGACCATGTACGGTATCGTGTCTGTCCCAAGAACCAGCAGGGAATTGCAATGAGATGCAAGAGCTCTGGGCCATTTAGGTGGAGATGGGAATTTAGCTTCCTTCTGCCCTGATAATTGATGTGATGGCAGGACTGGGCACAGAGGGAGTAGTTGCGCTGGATTCCCAAAGCTCCTAATTAAAGAAATAGTCCTGTTCTACTCAATGCTGAGAGAAAAGTGCTCTCCTTCCCTTGGGCCTGTCCTCTAGGGTACACAGGTTTTTTTTTTTTTTTTTCAAATCTAGGCAAGAGCAAGTCAATGATTGCTATTTCTTCACTAATGAGCCTAAGAAAACTTTTGACCAGGGCCTGCAGCACATTCAGCACCTTCACTCATGGATGTGCCAAGCACCTCCACCACTCACCCAAAGACCTGCACGGAAGCACTGCAAGAGGAAAAGGAAGAGGGCAGGGATTCCAGGAAGGCAAATGGAAGACAGAAGTCCTGGAAGAGATGAAGTGAGCTCTGACAGAGTAGGGACTCAACAAATGGGTCCTGTTTCCAGCTGGCAAGCTGACTTTTCGCTGCTGTGTCTTCAGCACGTGAATGACTACCTTACAATGGTGTGTGGAAGGCTGTAGTTAATCTACGGGTAAAGTGTTCAAATCTTCCATCTTCTTGGCTAAGGTAGAGAAACTATTCTTTAAAAAATTATGACAAATATTAAGTCAAAACAATTGTCAAAGACCCAAGGCTGGAACTTGTCTTTAGGAAGCAGATTTATTTATTTATTTAGGTTTTCAAGGAGTAACTGCGTAGGTTATAAAAAGAAAATCAGCTTTGATTCTGAATTCAGAAAAGTAGCAGTGGGCTAAAGACAAATATAAAGAAGTTTGTGTTGCTTAAACCAAAAGGGTCAGAAGGGTTTTCTTGGGCTCCTGTATAACAGGGGACTACAGTTAAAAGAAATGCTAGTCTTGATCCCTGTTTAATGAGTCTCTAGAATAACCCAAGAAAACAGGGGAGACAAAAATAAAAACACTAGAGGAGGCGGGACCAAGATGGCAGAGTGAGTGGTCTTCTTTGTCTCTCCCCCGTCAAATCCACAATTAATTGGACATTCACCGATTAACAAAGGATATCCAGATGGCATCTCAAGACGCCTGAGTCCCGTGCTACTACACATTGGAAGGCGGATGGACTTCCCCCCGGGAGGAGGTGGAAATAGGTGAAAACTCTCCAATCCCTGACCCCCAACTCCTGGACAGCCTAGTTCCTGCAGGAGGCTCTGTTCCAGCAGACTCCCCCATAGCATCTCCACACACCAAGGGTGGGAGTGCGCACTCACCAACAGAGCGATGGTGGAAACAGGTGACAACAGCCCTACCCAAGCCCGCCGTGATTACACCTAAGCCCAGGGGGAATCCCCAGGGTCCCA